GATAGGAGGGTTTTTTTGGAAGTCGCTTTAACCCCTGGAAACCAAGGATCTCAGCCAGCCGAAATCCTTGAACATCTGGGTGGTGGGGTTGAACCACGCATTATACACGGGCGAAAACGGGTATTGCAAGGGGCCCGGCTGTGAAGCACGACTACACCCAGAACGGCTTGCAACCGTGGTCGCGTCAAGACGTGAACCGCAGCCGCCGCGCATCCAACCAAGCGTCGGCGCGAAAAGCGTTCGTGCGGTCATCCGTGCGATGTAACTCAAAGGGGCAAACATGCTGCACGACTCGTGTTTTTTTACTCGCGCGAGTGTCTCGCATCGCGCATTCGACGGGAGACTCGGTCCAAACGCAGACATACGCAGACCCAAAAACACAAACATGGAGCAGTCCGAAAACCCACTCCATATAAGAAGACAAGCCAAACAAAAGACGACCAGCAAAGCAGAACCCAGAACAGGAATCGACGTGGACGGGGGCCCTCCCCTCACATCATACACTCCCCATCCGTGAGGCAAGCCAGCATCCGGAGCGGGCTGCGACCCTGGCGCCTTTCCGAACAACATCCAAGAGAAAACCACCGTTTTGCCACTGACGTCGGAAGCGTCGGCGTCGGCGCGAGAAGCGCGCGTGCGTTCATCCGGAGGATGAAGCTCAACGGGCAAACGTGCTGCAACCACTCGTGGCTTTTCACTCGCGCCTCGCAATTTTTTGGTCTCGCATCGCGCATTCGTCGGGAGACTCGGTCCAAACGCTAGGGGTTCCCTGTCCAACCAGGGAAGGGGACAGTTGGAAACCTTACATGGAGGGTCCGAAAACCCACTCCACTCGCAGAAAACAAACCAAACAAAAACGACCAGCAAAGCAGAACCCAGAGCAGGAATCGACGTGGAAGGGGACCCTCCCCTTCCATCCCCTCCCCATCCGTGAGGCACGCCAGCCTCTCCGAACAACATCCAAAAGAAGACCGTCGTTTTGCCAACGCCCTGACGTCCGACGTCGGCATCGGCGCGAAAGGCGTGCGCCCGTCAAACATGCTGCACGTATATATTATCGCTCGCGCCTCGCGCTTTTTTGGGGTCTCGCATCGCACATTCGTCGGGCCACTCGGTGCAAACACAGAACATCGCGCATTCCGCATTCCCGAAGCCACGCCGCCCGCGACAAGCTGCAAGGCCGTTCGTTGCCTTCACTCCTTCCCTGCTCTCCATGGCCGCGTCTCAAAAAAGGCCTGCGACAAAACGTGCTGGGACCCTGGGGACATGGGACCTAGACCGCGGATGTGATGGGATTTCCAACTTTCTTCCCGGACTTTTAAAGTAGGAAATGTGCCTTCCCAGCGCGATTTGTCAATTTTTTAGGTTTCCAAGGTTTTGGCTTCCACCATAAGGTCTTTACAATATTTTACAATTTTGTCGACCCCCAAACCTCTCCGCGCTCCAATGTGTTACGCCAGGTTTTCATTGTCGCGAGCTAAGACTGAACGTACGGTTGTTGGCAGCATGTGTCGTGAACAAGGTGGACTTGTAGACGCCACTGCTACGTGAGTTACGTGCATTGTTGTTTGGCTTCTCCCACTCGTTCACGAAAGATGGCAATAATCAAAGTATTGACGGCTTAACACGCCTATTTGTGATGCCCAGTTTTTCTCCTGGACGCAGTCGCAAAAACCCCAAGGGGTCTTAAAGCAATCAAGTGAGAATTTGTTACGCAATGTTTTGTTTGTGCTTTGGCCATCTGTGCTGTGAACAAAGGAGGAGCCAAAAACTGGCCTTTCCCACCATGTGTTCCCGTGAGCTTTTTGTTGTCGACGCTTTTTCGTGGGATGATTTCCCTTGGATTTCCCTCGGAACCCTGCGTTTCCCTTGACTTTTCCTGCGTAACCCATGTATTTCCCTTCAGATGTCCCTTTGAGCTCGTGCGGCGTGTGTACGCGAATTTTCTCCGCGGGTCCACGAAGGCGTTTTTGTTTCCCACGACTTTCCCGCCTGACGCTTGTTTAGCGGGTGACAAGCGTTTAGATCCTGCAACGTTCTGGGGTCTTACAGCCGTCAGATGTGGGATACACCTAAATTTGTTGCACGATGTTTTGCAAAAACACTGCGTGCTGAGCAAAAAGCCAAGTTGGGGACTTCTTGTTTGGCGTCTACCCTTTTCACGACGCAGCTCGCAACAACCAAAACATGGCGTAACAAATTGGAGTGTGGAGAGGTTGGGGGGCCGACGAAAAAACCATAAACCTGAAATTTCTAGGTCCCTGGAGAGGTCAATAGGATACAGAGACAAAGTGTGTATAGGGCGGGGGCGGGGGTAGTACTTTCGGGAATGAAGGTTAGGGCTCAGGGTAGAGGATTCAGAGTTGAGAGAGTATAGGCTTTCGGGATGAGGTTTAGAGGGTGGGTCGACGTTTGCATTGCGAAGGCTGCCCCTAGACTCGCAATCTTAAGAACATTGAAATTACAAAAGTCTAAAGTAGTGAAAATAAACATTCGATGATGAAATTCAGTAATAGGAAATCCAGGATCCATGTCCTTTGGGACCTTGCAAAGGAACGGATCTGTTAACCAACGCTTCATGCCCTTGCGGCAGAAGCCATGCTGACAACCTGCAACCCTGAAATCCGGAGGCAAAAGCCCCAAAGGGTTTAGGGTTTAGGGTTTAGGGTTTAGGATTTAGGGTTTAATCCCCAAAGACCCCTGAGACCCCTGAGTTCAAACCTATTCAACCTTCCAACCCTCGAAGCCCTAAACCCGGAAGCGGGCAAAAGCCTCCAGCTTCGGGCCTGGGAACCATGTACAGCTTAAGGTAGAGGTTCATGGGTTTAGGGTTTAGGGTTTAGGGTTTAGGGTTTAGGGTTTAGGGTTTAGGATTACGGTACATGACTTACCAACACCGCCTCAGGTGTGAGAAGTGGGGCTTAGGCTTGAGGGTTGATGGCTGAGCGAGCTCCCAGGATCCTGAAACCCCTAAACCCTAAACCCCAAACCCGAAACCCTGAACCTGAAGCTCTGAACCCTGCCTGCATCGGCGTCGCCGCGCGCCGAGAGTGGTTGTGGTCACCTGGATCTTCGGTTCGGACCCCACACCGAGCCCCCCTAAACCTAAACCCTAAACAACCCTAAGCCCTAGCCAAAGCCGATTCCTAAGAAGACACATCACGAACCCCTGGCATAGGAGAGTCAACCGGTCAGGCTTTATCAGGGTTCAAGGTTTGGGGGTACTGGGACTCCCGAAACCCTGAACCCTCAACCCCAAGCTTAGCGAAGATTCTAGGGTTTTGGGTTTGCGCTAAGCCCTGTGCATTCTGCGGGTTGGCGTACAAGCAGGGGGTCATGGGCCCCTTCAGCCCAAGCACGTGACCCTAAACTTTTGAACCCTAAACCCTAAACCCTAAACTTTTGAACCCTAAATCCTAAACCCTGAACCTGCTCTTCCTATGTATATATAAAGAATATTGAAAACCGTGATGGGGTCACACTCCCCATTTGGTTTTCTTGGATTTAGGATTTAGGTTTTAGGATCCAGGATTTAGGGGCCGAAGGATTTAGGATCTCGGACTTAGGGTGTGCGATTTAGGATTTAAGGTTCCGTCACGTCCCCTCCCCCTCCCTTCCCTACCTCCCCCCCCCCTATATAGGGTGAGCTAACCCTAAACCCTAAACCCTAAACCCTAAACCCTAAACCCCTAAACCCTAAACCCCTAAACCCTAAACCCTAAACCCCTAAACCCTAAACCCGAAACCCTAAACCGAGGGTTTGAGAAAGAAATTGAGTCAGCGGCCTGGGCATCGCCCCCGCTGTCTAAACTTGCAAAAGGGGGGTGCTCCTTTGGGTCACTGTCTTCGTTGGGGGGCCTTTGGGCTGTACTGCATAGGGGGCCTGTTTACAGAATGTTCCGTAGCCCTAAACCCTAAACTCCAAACTCTCACCCTAAACCCTATAAACTTTAAACTCCTAACCCTAAGCCCCAAACCCTCTAGCCTCTTTTGTTATGGGTCTAACCCTAAACCCTAAACCCTAAACCCTAAACCCTAAACCCTAAACCTTAAAGCCCTAAGCCCTAAACCCTCTAACCCTTCAGCATGGTCTCCTGCAAGATGGTTAGAGCTATGTGTGGGGGGGGGGGGGGGGGGGGGAGGGAGGGGGGGAGAGAGGGAGGTTCCCTCAACCTCATCCTTAACTTGGGGGATACTTGGGTTCAGGTATATAGGGTTATAGGGTTATAAGGGTTATAGGGTTATAGGGTTTTGGGTTTAGGGGTTAGGGTTGAGGGTTCTGGTCCTGCTTGGGAAACTCTGGTCCTTAGTTGGCCAAGAGTTAAGCTTCAATTAAACCTTAGGGTTTCGGGCTTACTTGGGTACTTATACAAACTACTGATAGTTACGAACATTGATTCCCCTAAGCCCCCTAAACCCTAATGGTAGGCAAGGCTGAGTCCGAAATCCTTTGGAGGAGATTGGGGGGGGGGGGTGTAGGAACCAGCGGGTTTGGGGTGTAGTGTGCGGGACTACACAAGGGGGGCGGGTGATACTTCAGGGGAAGGGTTACGCAAGGTATGTATTCTTATATAGTTGGTAGCCGTATTTGACTCCTTTGGGGTGATTCGTGATGATTCGTCATTGCTAGATAGTTGTACTTTTCCTTGATGTTACTGACGCAAAAACTCTTGTTAGCAGTGCCTTTGTCCAAAATGAGCGCCAGAAGCACAGCATCCACGATTGCCACGATAGACACTACGTCACGACACGCCAACGGCGACTCTTCAAAACCAGGGCAAGTTGAATCACGGGACCTGAAACTGGCCCTGCCAGTTTGGCCACTTCAGAGCAGCACAAGCCAACAACAGAGACCACGCTGCAGACCGAGCTGTCCACAGCTACGGAGCAGGGGGCATCGCAATGGGTCTGCAGAGTTGTCATCTGAACACGTCGAATCGGGCTTTGCCCCTCACGTGTGCCCTTTGCTTGAATTAAAAATACTGCAGGAACCAATACAGCTATGGGCTGGCATCCATGAAGTCGGCCAACGGCTCGAACTCCGTGATGCCAACAAGGCTCGGCTGTGTCTTCTTCTTGTTCGCGTCGTCGAAGGCAAAGTTGCCGAACTGGGCTTTGACGCAAAGCTCTACTTTACACAGCTGTTCTATGACTCTACTCTTCTAGAAAAGCAGAATTTCAGTGGAAAACCAAAAAAATTCCGACCTCCAACCTAGCGACCTGCAAGCATATCTTCGTATCGGGCTCACCCGCATCGCTCCCTCCCACCAGTGGCGGGTGGAAGGCCGAGACCTCCACGTCGTGCGCAACCACGGTCCTTGGGTTGTTGAGGGTTTAGGGTTTATAGGGTATAGGGTTTAGGGTTTAGGGTGTACATCACCACTTCTTTCAACACACCATTCGGTCTCAAGCGCCCGGCGTGCAATGGCATCAGGAATCACAGGTTTGCCGAGAGTATTACTGTTGGTGCTACGTGTACAGCAAGAATGTGCTAATGGCAGTAAGAAGAGTATAGTGATCATAGAACTGGTATCCATGAAAGCGGTAATCACACTAGTCAGAGCAAGAATGCTCATCATCAACGTAAAACAGTACATGCAAACGTATACTTAAGCGCATTGGACTCTGTAGTCGTAATCGTAATGATAATGACAATGACACGAGACGCACTGGCAACACACATATAAAATAGATATAAATATAAATATAAATATAAATAGAATTAAAATATATAAATAAATAATATATATATAATATGCAGTTACCTTTGTAACTACTAAGACTAAGACTACGACGAGGACTATGTCTTGACTATCACTTCATTGTCATCAAGGGGCTTATGGGACCGCTTAATATAGACCCCCAAATAGTAGGATCCCCTTATGCTCCTTGACCCTAAACCCTAAACTCTAAACGCTAAACCCTAAACCCTAAACCCTAAGCCCTAAGCCCTAAGCCCTAACCCCGAACCCTACTTTCGGGAACTCCCCCCCCCGCACTTAATTCTGATTCTTCTTCTTTGAAATCTCTGTGCAAAACGCGTCTCCTCTTTGAGTTGTCCATCATGCGCAGCTTCATGTGCAGGTTCTCCGTCTCCTCACATCATGGTGTTTAGGGATTAAGTTTTAGGGCTTAGGGTTTAGGGTGGTGGTAGAAGCCGTAGTAGTAGCAGTAGTTCAGTAGTGGTAGAAATACTGATGAGAATGACAGATGGGCTGCCGATTAGAATTCTAAACCCTAAACCCTAAACCCTAAACCCTAAACCCTAAACCCTAAACCCTAAACCCTAAACCCTAAACCCTAAACCCTAAACCCTAAACCCTAAACCCTAAATCCTAACCACAGGATTGTTCGGCTCCTGGTTGGCTCTGCATTCTCGCATAAAGGCGCCCAATTTGCTTCGCACCGATTCCCAGTCCTTGGGCTCTGAGCTCTAAGGGCTCTGAAGAACTAGGGTTTAGGGTTTAGGGTTTGGGGTTTAGGGTTTGGGGTTTAGGGTTTAGGGTTTAGGGTACCATCTGCTTATAAGAAGCCCCCCCAAACAGTCAAAACATGAAAACCCCCTTTTTGCCCTGATAAGGAGGACTGCTTCTTATTTTGTGCGGGTTCTTAAGCAATTCGTAGAAAGGTGTACGAGTTGCGCCTCCCGCGCTGCGGGCTCTACCCTGTTTACACTTTGTGTTGTGCGATTGTTGATTGGTGCAAGCGATTGTGTGGGTTTGCGCAGTCAAACACACTGTCAGTACTGCGGGGACGACTTAAGCGAACAAGAAATGGACTTCATGCCTACACTCCTGAACCCTATACTCCTGAAACCGTAAACCCCTGAGCCTGAAACCCCCCCCCGCCCACCTCCCAACAAAAGGCCTCTTAATATGTATTCCCATGGTCTGTTGGGCGCACAAGCCGACGCAGGGACGGCATGTGTGCGTCAGGATCTGATGGTTGCTTCACGAAACGAAGGTGCGCTTGCTCCACATCAAGCCAGTGCGACCCACCGTCGACCAGCAATGTCATGTCCACCAACCTTGGTCATACAATATCTAGGAGAACCTAACTATCTTTTTGTGAAAATGAATGATTTTGGTGCACATTCATACGTTGACATGTGTGCGTGTGTATGTGTGTGTGTGTGTGTGTTAATATGGTTGGCGTGGTATTCAAAATGTGGCCTCCTTCATCACTGTTCGGGTTTCCACACTCCCATTCAGTATATTCCACAGGTCCTATCGGCCTGCGGGCTGCGAAGAGGAGGACGCATGCATCTGAAATGACAGATTTGCAAGGATCAAAACGCTGCTAAAGCGTGTCTTGCACAGGACGTACCACTATCGATTCTTTGCTCACGGCTTCTTTCGCCGCGCATGAAGTTTATCGAGTCTATTGCAGTGATGCAGTGCGGCATATGCAGATGACACAAGGGAACGCGCCAAGTGTAAAGTGCTAATGCTACCTTCAGAGGGTCATCTTTTATGTTGTTTCATCAAGACCGGATTTCGTAACAGCGCCCCATCGTCTCTTCATTCTTGTTGATGTGCATTTGCTGGCAACCGCTCTCACAACATGAGCGAAGAACATCACTTCCAAGCTTTCGTCTTGTGTTCGGGGGCAGAAGGTCTTATGTCATTGTCATGGCCCGCGTCGAGGCGTAGTTGGGTGTGTATTTGTTCTTGTTCTTGTCGTTGCCGTTGTTGTCGCTGCTGGGTTTGTTGTTAGGGTCCTGGCCGTTCTTGCTGTCCTTGCTGTTGCCACGGTCGCGGCCGCTGCCGCCGCAGCCGCAACCCAAAACCAGCCGAGTGGCTCTGGATAGTTCTGCGTCAGGGAGTTGTACGAAGATTGGGACATGAAACTCGCCTCTGACTGCGCTCGGGTCGATGACGGGGCTCCGGTGACCTTCGGTAGATTCTTCTGGACTTGTGGCAGCGCATCGGGCTGCAAGCGAGTCTCCCAATCCTGATTATGGAGGCGTTGCAAAAAACGTCAAAAAGATACGGGCAGGTTCACTTGGCACTTTGCAAGCGCAGCGTTGATAACGGTTTTAAACTGAACAAAGACAAATTGCCCAAACAGCCTGTCCCAGAATCCTCCCTCAACGCTATGAGGTGATGCGGGCCCTCTTTCCCAAACATGTCAGGCATGGGGACGTGCCAAAGGTCTACGCCTACCCGGATGCCATTCGTGCCCTGGAGAGAGACCCGAAGGCAGGGCGGAGTAGTCTTGTTCTTCTCAGGCTTCAAGTTTTCCTCCGTGGACTGTTTGATGAATCGAGTGAAGTCTTCCCGCTCGTCTGTCATCAGGAGTTGCTGAAAGTTCCTTGGTAGCCCAGGAACCATATCAAACTATAAGGGCAGCCCCTTTTTGGGGTTGGTTACCTTAGAAGGGAAGCCAGAGCCAGAAAACAAAAAAAAGGTAAAAAGGGTGCCACTCTGGGCTACCAAGGTTCTGACCTTTGCATCCCGTCGGTGACATGAGCAGATGCTTGAGGCACTCCGTGCTCTCGCAGATGCTCATGTTCTCGGTCAGCAGCACTTCGCCGTCCGAAACGCCTCGGAGCATCCGACGGAAGCTCGCCACCATGGACTCTGCATCTAAGAGCGCAGAGGCATGTGAGATCACCCAAAACTCAAGAGCCGCGCAGACCGCACAGATGCCCACCGCGAATACGAACTGCCCGACCGCGTACGTCATGACATCTCTGTGATCCTCTTCTTCGGGGCTGAAGACCCTAGCCCTCCCCCCCAAAAAGAGGTAACCCTTTTAACTTGCAAGAAGATTATATACGTAACCCACAAAAAGGTTCAAAGGTTAACTACCCTTTGCACTAGGATCATACATAACCCAAGAAGGTTAAAAAAGGCCAACTGCCCGGTTTTCTAGGTCCTCGTTCTTGAGCACCCCAAAAAGATTTAAAAAGGCCGACTACCCAGCCCCCCGAAGTCCCTACTCAACCCTCAACCCTAAACCCTAACCCTAAACCCTAAACCCTAAACCTTAAACCCTAAACCCTAAACCCTAAACCCTAAACCCTAAACCCAGTCCTCGTTCTTGAGCCAATAAACCAAGCTTTCAGCTGCCGACATGGCAAGCTGTGAGGGGATGGTCGTCCAGGAATGCATGAAGACCACGGACATCACCTAGGAGACCCCCCTGAAAGGGTTTAGGGTTTAGGGTTTAGGGTTTAGGGTTTAGGGTTTAGGGTTTAGGGTTTAGGGTTTAGGGTTTAGGGTAACTCCTACTTAAAGGATCATGGGACTGAGTAAGTAGGGTTAGATTTCGGGCAAATATCGTTACAATTACTTAGAACCCCAATTAGGGTACTCCTAAACCGTACTTACAAAGTCCCATGATCCTCCAAGTAGAACCCTGCAAAAAGATTTTCCTGAAGATGATCCCTGTTAAACCTAAATAAGGGTGTTTCCGGAATTTGGGGTACCTTATTGGGGTCTGTGCTTAAGGGAATCCTACTATTTGGGGTTCTATACCAGGGCTCCCCCAGTTTCTTAGACCCAAATAAGGGCAAAATGCCCCAAGGGCCTACCTAGGCACCAGCCGGCTCCCATCGTTGAACACCTGCACGGCCATCGCGTGCCCTTCGCTGTCCCGATTCGCAGCGCCACCAAGCAGAAGCAGCACGAAGGAGCCGTTGTACACCTTACTTGTCCAGTAACCTGGGGGAACTCAAGGCTAACCTGAGGGATTCAAAAGGGGATTCGAATACAACAAGAAAGGTTAAAGGTTACCTACTCTACCACTAGGGATTCGAATACCCCAAGAAAGGTTAAAGGCTACCTACTCTACTGCTAAGACACGATGTAGAAGATGGTGAGGTTCTGCCGACTCAAGCTCAGGAAGCCTTTGAGCACTGCGGTATGTGTTAAGTACACTCCGCATAGGCAGAGAAGTCGGAGAATGTTCGGCAAGCAGAAATCCATCACGATATCGTACATGAATGCGACGACCAGAAACCCAACAGGGTGCACAAACAAGTTGATCGCGTTCTTGTACATTCGGGCGCGAATCTTCCACAACTCCTCTTGAACTTGGCCTCTGTGTGCTTTGTGAAGAGAGTCTGGCTCATCACAGCTGGATTTTGACAGACCCCGGAGCATCGAGGCAATGGACTGGAAGTGATGGCCATGCAGGAAGATGTGAAGACTTAAAACGATGATGCCACCTGTGCCAGCCAGCGCAGTAGCCTCCAGCACCATCTTCGCAGCAAGCAGTCTGGCGGACACCCGCCACGGCTTTTCGCAAGATGTACAGTCTGTACAAATATAATTCATCTACCTATCTATCTATCTATCTATATATATATATGCATACACAGTATCCATGCAAAAAAAGTGTGCGCATATATATAGGATATTCTGTATAAACAAATGTGTCTCGACTCTGCGAAGTGGATGATCCTGACTTGCGGCCCCTGCTGTTCGGAAGACTAAGCCGCTCTGATGAGACACGATAACTATAAACCCTAAACCCTAAACCCTAAACCCTAAACCCTAAACCCTAAATCTCTCCGCATTATTCAGCATCCCTCACAAAGAGCCGCGAACGATTCAACCTCAAAACCCTAAGCCGCAACTCCTCCACCCTAAATCGCAACACCCAAGCTTCAACTCAAGGGGTTTTTCAACGCATACCTTGAAGATTTAGGGTTTAGGGTGTTGAGTATGTGCCGCCATGTAGTTCCATGCCCCCACTGAAACAAGCAATGCGAAGAGGGAGCTTCTTTCAAAGCCCCGGAACTCTAAACTCTAAGCCCTACACCATAAACTCGAGACACTCGGACTCGAATCCCTAAGCCCAAACCCCAAAACCCAAATCTTAGGGTAGTTACATGGTCCCTTAGTATGGGCCCTTAAGCAGGGCCCCCGTATATACCCCTCATATACCCTATACAACCCAAGGCCGTACTTCAGAACCCTTTAATGGAGGTAGGGGACCATATTAAAGTCCATGAAACTACCCTTGGACACAAAACCCGAAAAGTCCCACCGTCCTAGGGTTCGGGGCTTATCCTCTGCGGCACTTTGTAGTCTAGCGGTTTAGGGCTTCGGGTATAGCATATCTACTATTAGGCGCCTTCAGAAAGGACAATACTTGCATTTCTTCGGGCTCCCAGAGCGAACTAGGGATTCACTTTCTTTGGGGGTGGTTGAGCTAATGTTCGATGGTTCTAGGCGGGCTTACAATTGCGGTTATAGCTGCTGGTGGCCTGACTTACGTTTATTACGGGGACGCGTCAACCCATGACCCTTCAAGCAGCAAGGGGAATCAATTCGCCTTACTCTGCACCCTAAACCCTAAGCCCTGAACCCAAGCTCTCTGCACCTCTGGCAAACACAACGCTCTTAGGGGTTATTAAGATATGTTTAGGGTTTAGGGTTTAGGGTTTAGGGTTTAGGGTTTCCACAAGTCCCTGAGCTATGGGGTTCAGGTGGCTCCTAGGAAGCCCGCAGCCAGTGCTTGGAACCCGTGCCATGCGCGCAAAGGCGCTACCCAGCTCGGCGACGAGCCGTCCGAGAACGGCTGCCTAGGAACTACCCTAAACCCTAAACCCTAAACCCTACAACCTACACCCTAAACCCTAAACCCTAAACTCTAAACCCAGGTTTAGGACTTAGGAAGTGCAGAAAGCTGTAGCACATAATGAGGGACTCCGGGGGGTTAGGATTCAGGGTTGAGGCTTGAGATTGAGTTGGTGCAACTCCCACATAACGAACCAGGTAGTTTGTCGGAGGCCAATACTTGTCTTTACGGCATCCTTTAAATGCCCAAGTGACGCACCCAAAACAATCAAGCCCTAACGCCGCCGCCATACTTTAGAGCCCCCCCCCCCCCCCTGCCCCGCCCAAAGGGTTTAGGGTTTAGGGGCGTTTAGGGCCCCCACCCTCCCCTCCCCCATTGCAGCGGCCCGTTTGGCAAGCTCGCTGTCCGACTTGGTCTGCGGAGAAGACCGGGCTGTGTTGGGTTTAGGGTCTAGCATGTTAGGGTTTAGGCTTCAGGGTTCAGAGTTCAGGGTACGGGGGCAGCCGAAAGGGGAAAAGGGATCAACCCTAACAGTCACCAGGTTCACCCTGGACCAACCAACCAAGAAAAACCTATACCCTATACAACCCAAGGGCCAGTACTTCAGAACCCTTTAATGGAGGTAGGGGACCATATTAAAGCCCATGAAACTACCCTTAGACACAAAACCCGGGAGTCCCACCGTCCTCTGCGGCACTTTGTAGTCTAGCGGTTTAGGGCTTCGGGTATAGCATATCTACTATTAGGCGCCTTCAGAAAGGACAGTGCTTGCATTTCTTGCACCTCCCCCCCCCGCGCCCCCCCTACCCCCCGCCCCCCCCTCCCCTGCCTGTGTCGTGAAGACAAGGTCTGGTCCTGAATCTCTGTTTCTTGGGGATGTGAGTCGATTGGGACGGGTTCAGGGTTCAGGGTTCAGGGTTCAGGGTTCAGGGTTTAGGGTTTAGGGTTTAGGGTTTAAACTAGCTAAAAGATTTGCCGGGGATTGCTCAGGGTTACTTGGGGGATTGCTCGCACTAGTCATGGGATGACCACAGCGGAAACATGACTCAGGATGACTTGGAGCGTTTGAAAAGGGAAGAGCCTTGCAGATCTCCACCAACTTCCCTAAACCCTAAACCCTAAACCCTACACGCTAAACCCTAAACCCCCCTAAACCCCCCCCAAAACCCTAAACCCGAAGCCCTGAAACTCGAACCGGGGTTGCTGAGTACCCGGGCCCCAAAAAGGTTAACCTTTCAATTCTGGTAGGATTGTGTTAGGGTTTAGGGGTATACCCCAAAAGGTGAAAGGTCATCTACTCAGCTAAGGAGCTTAGGGAAGTTCCCTCAACCTCCTCAGCCCTCGGCACTCCGCTGGCAACTGCGTCCACCAAAGATGCCGGGATATTTGTGTTTGTTAAACACATGTAAATACACATATTATGTACATGTACACACAGAAATCCGCTGGGTTTAGGGTTTAGGGTTTAGGGTAGGATTTTGGGGCCTCAGGTTTCGGGTTCCGGCTGGGGTTTGAGGGTTAGAGCCTTGGGGGTTTAGGGTCGCCGTTTCTGTACATAGCTCCAATTTAGACCTCGGCTTGTGGCCGATGGCCTGCTAATCAACATTCTGAATACCAACCTTCACAACCTCGAATCCTAACACTACCGTACATCCCTCAACCCTGAAACCCTAAACTTCCCAAACCTTTCAACCGCCTAAACCACACGAAACTCAGAAAACCAAAAACAGAAAATAAACAACAAAACGAAAGCCCAGAAAGCCAGAAGACTCCGAAAACCCTAGGCCCTAAACCCTAAACCCCCTAAACCCTAGACCCCGCAAACCAACAACCCCCAAAGCCCTAAATCGCCCCACGAAAAGCGGCCTCGTTGCCCTGGCACACCCGCACCTGCGCAAAAGGGGGTTTAGGGCGTAGGCTTAGGGGTTTAGGCTTCAAGGGCTGAAGGTTTTGGGTTGACCCTAAACCCTATATAATCCTCTCTAGCCTATGTATATTAAATGGCGAATGGCTTCGCGGCCTAGCGCCAACAATTCGCGCACAAGCGCCGACAATTCGCGGACAAGCACCGACACTTCGCGGACATGCGCCAACAAGCGGACAAGCAGACATCATTTTCCTAAACCCTAAACCCTAAACCCTAAACCCTAAACCCTAAACCCTAAACCCTAAACCCTAAACCCTAAACCCTAAACCCTAAACCCTAAACCCTAAATAAACCCTAAACCCTAAACCCTAAACCCTAAACCCTAAACCCTATACAGCACCATACATGGTGCTGGGGTCGGACACCCCGTCCGTGCGGGGCCCGACCCCGGCTGCTCTTAGCCCCAGGCCAGGGTTGTAGGGTAGGGATTTAAGGCTTTTAAGGGTCTTAAGAGTCCTAAGGGCTTTAAGAATTTTAAGGGCTTTGAGGGTTTTAAGGTTTTTAAGGGCCTTAAGGGTTTTAAGGGCTTTAAGGGTCTTGAGGGTCTTAGGGGTTTTAAGAGTCTTAAGGGATTTAAGAGTTTTAAGGGTTTTAAGAGCCTTGAGGGTTGTAAGGGTTTCAAAGGGCTCCTTTCATATTCCTACGTAGATAGATTTGCTCCGAGCGTCGCCTGAGCAGCGGCCGGGTCGCGTTCAACCTGCATTCAACTTTGAGGGGGGGGGGTTCATGGCCCGTTTTTCACAGGGTCAGCGGCAAACCCTAAACCCGAAACTCTAAACCCTAAACCCGAAATCCTAAACCCTAAGCCCGAAACTCTAAACCCGATGAGGGCTTGGGGTTGAGGGTTTAGGGGGCCCTCTGCGTAATACAGGGGTCGGAAGAACTGCTGCTACTAATTTTCCCCCATGGTCCCTTGCCAGTTCAGTTCCCAGTATCTACTCTAATACATCCTGAACTCCTGTAGTCGAAAACAACCCTAAAACCTCATTGGGTTAAGGTGTTTGGGGCTGACGTTGCTTGTGGTCCGTTGTATAAGTATACCAATAGTAACCTCCAAAAGCCTGTTCTAACTACTAAGGCTCCTATAGTAACCCTAAACCCTAAACCCTAAACACTAAACCCGAAACCTGATGAGAGGGCTTAGGGTTGCGGGTTTAGGGGGGCCCACTGGGTACTCTTGAGCCAAGCTGAAGGATGGCAGCTGATCCAGTTTGGCAAGGACATGTTGAGATGCTCTGGTGAGCACATAGAAGCCCATGCAGGATCTACCGAGTTGCTAAGAGCACCCTGGCACAAAAAAGGTGAACCTTTCAAGTATGGTAGAATTGTACATATATATATATATGTATGTACCCCGGGAAAGGTGAACCTTTCAAGTATGGTAGAATTGTATATATATATATACCCCTAAGGTTAAAGGTTCTCTGCTCAGCTAGTAGGTAAAAAAGGTTTCTTTTTTCGATGTGCTCAGGATCCACTTAAAGAGCTTGCCTGAGCGCAGGCTGCAGGCAATGGAGTCTTTTTCATGATGCAAAAACCTCGCTTCAAACGACTCCGCCACGCTCAGCATTTTGTACATGAGCGAGTTTCGGCCCCCCCCCCCCCCGGGATGTTGCGAAATGCGACGATTAAGAGATCATGTGTTCTGGATTCAAGCGAAACATCGCAGCTGGGCCTGAGCCGTATGTTCCAATTTTTAAACAAGCCCTGGCTGTGGCTTCCGAATTCGAACAGCCTCTTGTCTGTGAGAAAAGCACACTCTGACGTGCGGAGCTCCCATGGAGCTTCAAAAAGAAGTAGCTTAAAAGTTGGTTGATAAAGCACAAAAAATCGGACACGGAAGGCTCGCACTCCCTTGCCTTGATAGCCTCCTGACCACCGAAGGCCCCCAAGAAACATTGCGAGCTAGGCATGTGGCCAAAAAAGGCCCGCCGAGTTGGCCGTGTTAGGCAGCCCAATTCAGCAGTGCGTGCAAGAAGCGATCCACCTGCCTCGCAAGTTCTGCCACGTGGGATCCTGGCAAGGACGATGAAAACCAAGAGAACCTAACGAAACTCTGCCCACGTTCCTACATGCCCAAATGAACCCCTCGATCCTAGCTCGAAACTGCCGAGAGCGCGGCCGAAATCCCGAAGACCCCCCACGCTTCGGCCCCTGGCTATTGTGAGCCCTATTTGGGGCACGTGAAAGAGAGTGGGGAAAAGCCCTAAACCCTAATTACTAAACCCCTCTTGAAAAGTCTTAAGCACCCTACAAAGCCCCCTAAGGCCCCAAAGCCCTTAGACACTTCTTACATCTGATTCTTTGACGGGTCATAGCCCGACTACACCTACAAGAGCAGTGTTTAGGGTTCGGGGGTTAAACCCTAAACCCTAAACCCTAAACTTTAGACCCCGGGCGCCTGGCCAGGTTTGGAAACGCAGCGCCAACAGCAGCAGCACACTCATTGCACGTGATTTCACCTTGCCTGGCCAGGTACACAGCTAATTGGGGCTTTGGAGTTTGGAGGTTCAGGGTTTCGTCCTAAACCCGAAGCCCTAAGCCCTGAGCCCTACGCCCTGAACCCTAAACCCTAAACCCCCCCCCCCCCCACCTGCCCAGGACATGGTCATCTTAACGCCCCCGATGAAGATGCCGGCGTCGGTTCGCGCCATGTGCGCGACCAGCAGCCAGTTTTCAAGGCGCGCCTGTGCGGGCAAGGATCCCTGCAGGCTGTTCACCTTGCTTGTCCAGTAACCTGGGGGAACTAAAGGTTAACCCTGGCCCCTAAACCCTAAACCCTAAACTCTAAAACCTAAAACCTTTCGGGATTGTATAGGGGTTCGACCCCAAAACGGTGAAAGGCTACCTACTCTACGAGTAAGTCACGAAGGCAACGGCTTTCTGGCATTTCTCGCTAACGGTCACGGCGCTCGCAAGCATGCGGCCAGCGAGGAAGGCGTGCACGACGTTGGAAACTATCTGCGGCATCAGCCAATCAGAGCAAATGCCGGCAATCTCTCCACTGTCCGGGAAAAAGATCGCGGCCACTGGTGGGAACATGCCCAGCAGCACCATCACAAGGAAGAGGACGTACCTTCAAGAATTCAAAGCCTAAAGCCTTGAATCCTAAACCCTACAACAATCCACAAGCCCCAAGACCCTGAGGAAGCATGAGCAGAGTCACGTCAAAAGCGTTGCGAAAAAACAAGTGCCCTCCAAGAGGGGGGCTGATCCAGGATGTAAATGTGAATCACAAGCTTCTTTTGAGTCTGCATCACAATCATCACACTACACTCCTCAATTCGGGGTGTCAAAATTTAGCCGACAATGTGGATCAAATACCGGTCATTTTTAGCTGTGGCCCTTGTCCTCGTCGAGGTACAAAGAGGGCTAAGGGTTCAGGGTCAAAGTTTAGGGTTTGGGACAGAAAGTTTGGGAATTGGGGCTCAAGATTTTGGTTGAGGGCCGAGGTAGGTTGAGATGCACCAGACTGCTCTCGTTCGTGATCTGCCCGCTGAAGGAGGCGATGCAGGTCCAACGTTCGTAGGCCGCATCAACATCCGTCGGGCTCATTGCAAACATTCGTGAGTGCGAGTCCAGCAGAACCAAGAGGGAGCGGTTGAGGAATGAAAGAACCAGGGCCCAGGACACCCGGTAAAGGGCTTGGAAGGCAGATGCTGCGCAGGCTTGCCACGAAGCCATCCCGCCAAGTCGGACCCATGCAATATAACTGACGAGCCAGCCCAACCTTAGTTGTCCAGTAACCTGGGGGAATTAAAGGTTATAACCTTTGGGATTCTAAGGGGATTATTACTACCCCAAAACGGTTAAAGTATTACCTACTCACTGCTAGGCAACAAGCAGACGGTGACGGTGGCCAACTGCCACTTCATCTCGGCAGCCAGAGCGGAGCTGGACGCCGGTGAGCCCACTGCCTTGTTCACATGGTCCATTAGCTCTTGCAGTCGGTTACTCCATGCTCCCCGTAGCAGGAGATATGTGCAGAGTGAGGCTTCGACAACATGCATGAGGCTGCATGCCCTCTGCAAGCCTGTGCTGTGGCTCGTGGCTGCTGCATACACGCAAAGGGCCCAAGCAACGCTGCACACCAGCACCGCGCCGCAGCGCACCGGCGTCTGCCATTCCGGCTTGCCTCGTGGTGCGATGCCCACTAGCAGATTCAGGATGGTGACAGGTCCGGAAACCAGCCAGAAGAGGCAAAGACGGGTGCAGAAATGTGCGGTTGTGTCGGTGCGCTGGCTGTCAAAAATGGTGTTTGGCATCCTTGTGAGCGCACCCTGCTCCATCGCTGACTGCAAGGACTGCAAGGATGTCCTTCTCTTTGGGCCTTGGCTCTCTTGGGTCCTGTGATTCTCCAACACTTCCGATGTCGACAAGTGGCATAGCAATGTGAGCGGTGGCTTAGGTGCATAAGTTTTGGGGGATTTGGGGGTCCTAAACCCTGAACCCAAAACCCTAAACCCTAAGCCCCAAGCCCTAAACCCTAAACCCTAAACCCCCAAAACGATGCTTGAAACCTGCCGGCGACTCGGTGGAGACTCCTCGGGCCTGGCCATCAGCGCCGGCTGCGCCCAGGATTTCCCTTGCACCTACTTGGAGGGTTTAGGGTTTAGGGTTCAGGGTTTAGGGTTTAGGGTTCAGGGTTTAGGGTTCAGGGTTTAGGGTGCAGGGTTTAGGGTTTGGAGGTTCATGGGTAGTTAGAAGTAAGGTTACAATTATGGCAACTCTACTTATCATCCCTTCGAGGGTACTTGAAACCTCACTTATAGCTACCCATGAACCTCCAAGTAGGTTGCTCCTCGGAAACTTCTCAAAGCCGCCATATCTCTGTTGGGCTGACTATTGGAGGGCCCGCGAACCGAAAGCGAAAGCCACAAAACAGATGCTAACCCTAAACCCTAAACCCTAAACCCTAAACCCTAAACCCTAAACCCTAGTCGAAGAACCCAGCCTTGGGTAAACTCTGCCCACCGTGTGCATACTCCCCGGCCTCTGGTGCAACACGAGCGCGATCGGCACTTCCGGGTCCGCGCTTGTCCATGACAAGCTCGCCGTGGAAGCTCTTGGAAACACTCGGAAAGCTGCCTCTCCCCGCTGACTGTGCCAAGTCCGTGCATGGCATGATGCCCACAACACCAGCCATGACCGGCGATGAGCGGAGGACTGCTGAGATCCTTTTGGTACTTGGTACACCTGCACCGCAAATTGCTGCGGAGCCGACATGGAGGTTTCCGAAATTAAGGGTACCTTATTGGGGTCCTTAGAATTATAGGGGAATCCTACTGCTCTAAACCTCTGCATGAAGACCTAAGGAAAACTCTTGAATCCCCAGCACTGCCAACGGGGATCTTCCGCCCAGAGCCCTCGAAAATCAAGGATGCTCAGGAACTCCGCGGAAGTTTGTTTTGCTAGCGGCCCCTCGTGAAACAGCCAAGTATCTTGAAACATAAGTTTCCAACAACGGTTGAGCAAACCCAGAAAAAACAACAAAGCAACGACAGGCGTGCTGGCAACATGCTCAAGGGCTATACTCCCCTTAGAACCCTAACAAAAACAGCATTTTTTAATATCCTCTTGGGTTTCATATAAAAAAACATTCCCAAGGGGGATATAGAGGGCTTTCAGGGTGGAGAGTTTAGGAACTGTGAGATGTTTGCGGGTGGTTCTTTGTCCTCAGACCTCAAACCCTCAATATTTGAAGGGTTTCCTGCTCTCCCCTGTGGTTGGTGATGGGTTTCGTGTTGTGGTCAGGGTTTGGGGGTACCATGGAAGGTGGGGGTGATACCATGGGGGGATACTGTATGCGGGATGGGGGGATACTATGGGGGGGGGGGTCGCGCACACGGAGCACGGACGCACAAAAACCCAGAAAGTTCCTAATGATACAGCCTCAGGAGCCTCGGAAACCTCTGTGAGCAATGCCTGCAAACCCTTACTAACCCTGAAAGACAATGCCCTCAAAACCCCCTGAAACACCATATAAAAACAAACCTCTAAACCTCCACAAGACCTTAAACAATTCCAATGAGTTCTCGAAGAACCCTACTTGGAGGTTCATGGGTAGGTATCATGGTAACTACACATAGAACACTACCTAGGGTACTTCTATACCTAACCCTAAACCCTAAGACCCTGAACCCTAAACCCCTCAGTGGCTGCACCGTGGTTCTCGCGCCTCGGACCGGCCCGCCGAGGCCTGCAGACGCGGGAAAAGCAGTCTGCCGAGCAAGAGGATTCCAGGGGTTCGTAGGGGGGCTTTTAGGGGGGTTTAGGTGGGTTTTAAGGGGGTTCAGGGGGTTTTAAGGGGGTTTCGGGGGTTTTAAGGGGGTTTCAAGGGGGTTTTAAGGAGGCTTAGGGGGTTTTAAGGGGGTTTAGGTAGGGTTTTAAGGGTTTTTAGGGCCAGCGTTCGCAGCTGCAGCATTGGCAATGAAAATCTACACCCTGCACAAAAGTGAACGCTCAAAGAAACGATGCATTGGAAACTTGGTTGTCTGGGGCTGTAGGGTTTAGGGCTTAGGGTTTAGGGTTTAGGGTTCAGGGTTCAGGGTTCAGGGTTTATCTGGCCAGACAAAGAGCAGCGCAGCAGGACCAGAACTTCCCAAAATGGTGGTTGTCGGGGGGGGGGGGGCGGGGGGTGCCCTTTGGTGGCTGGGCCCCTTCAACAGCGATACCTAAACCCTAAACCCTAAACCCTAAACCCTAAACCCTAAACCCTAAACCCTAAACCCTAAACCCCTAAACCCCTAAACCCCTAAACCCCTAAACCCCTAAACCCCTAAACCCCTAAACCCTATGCAGCCCAACGGCGCTGGAGCCACGGCGCAGGGAGCCCGGGCGCAGCTGGCTTCAGCGCCAGGGCCTGCGGCTTAGGGTTTCGGGATTTTAGGGTTTAGGGTTTAGGGTTTCGGGTTTAGGGTTTCGGGATTACAGAGTTTAGGGTTTCAAGGGGCTTAGGGTTCGGAGCTTGGGTACTTAAGATCTGTGAAATCGCAATAGTCAGAAGACTAGTGTTGAGTAAATCGCCAAAGGAATGTCCAGGCAAGGTGTAAACCCTAAATCTTAAACCCTAAACCCTAAACCTACGTTGTGATCCGAGTAGGTTTGGCCCTGAGGAGCCGAATCACGGTTCTGGGTAGGGCTCGGGTTCCAGATTTGGGGACTTCAGGTTTGGGGTGTTTTAGGCCTGAAACCCTAAACCCTAAACCCTAAACAAAGTTTCGTCGGAGCACTAAGCCCAGGCACCTACTTACGCCACACCTCAGGCACACCCTGCATGATCAACGCCCGAAAAACCCATGTACACCGAAAACTCTTTGCTTCCTTTTGCTTGGGCTCATCTACCCCCCCCCCCCCCCCCTCCCACCTAACACCGCCCCCCCCCCCCCCCCCCCCCCCCCCCCCCCCCCCCCCCCCCCCCCCCCCCCCCCCCCCCATCCCCCCCCCCCCCCCCCCCCCCCTCCCCCCCCCCACCCCTAAACCTAAACCCGAACACCCTCGATCCCACCCAAAAACCCCCAGAAGACTTCGAAGTGTCGCCAAGAACCTAGGCCCCGAGTGCTACAACCACCTTCCAAACCCTACTTAAACCCGGAAAAAATTCTTCACCCCAAAAAAAAAAAAGCTTCTAGGAAGAGAAAACCCACACCAGAAACCCACCCAACCCCCCCACCCCCCCCCCCCCCCCCTCCCCCAAACCCAAGACACTGAACATGGTCGTTCGGCTCGCGAGCTCTACTGTCAATTCTTTACTACAAAAAAACAGAATGCGTTCGGGAGGTGCCTTCTGGAAGCCCAAAGCAGAACACTAAAAACGGCACCACGGCCTGGGATAAACATGGGGGCGCAAACCTACAGAACGACATCCTCCATGTCATGTCCACGCATGTTTTATCTCAAGATCTTTGCTTCTCTGATGCTTCAGAACACTCACAGAGCCGTCGTAAGTTTCGGCGGCGGGAGCTCGTGCATCGGCTTCATGATCCGAGTGTTCGGCTTGACGGAGTCGCCTTGAGTCCACGTCTTGTCTCCCGCATTGAAGTTCTCCAGAGTAAAGCCCGGGCAATGATACAACTCGAGCTCTTGGAGGTTGGGGAGGTTATCAAGCTCGTCGTAGGGCAATGGCTGCACATGAAAACTGATCTCCCCGAGCTGCAAGTGTGTCAGGCTGTGGGGCAGTGCTCCGACAAATGCCCCAAGGATCTCGGGGGTCAACCTTTCGTCCATGTCAAAATTCGCCGCGATTGCTGTGACTCCGTGGCTCCTCGGAAGGGCGGCTAGGAACAAGGACCTCAACCGCTCGGTGCCCAACAAGCAGGCTGGCACGGTGGAGGACGCCAGGCGGCCGCGCAGCATGTCGTTGACCTTGACGTAAGCATCGTGCTCACTCATGGGCTCCGCATCCAGGTCTGTGCTTCTGGTGATGGAGTTGAGGATGTGCCTGCGGTCCTCCTCCACGCTCGCTTCCCCCCTCTCTAGGTGCACCTCCAAGGACTTCTGAAGCAGCGCTATTGGGAAGTAGCTCTCCCGGAAGGCCTTGTACTGGTGCCCTCTGAGAGCCCCGCCTCGAGAGTCTAGGACTGACAGGCCGTCCACGAGTGCACATGTTGCACCGAAATGATTCGCGAAGACGGTGTAGATGTCATACTTGTAATCCCTCTCTGAGGCCTGGTCCATGAGAGATGTGTATACCTCGTCAGGGTGAGCCATCTAAACAACCATCTAAACATTAACAGCTGCTTGCGTTAAGGCATAAAAAGATCTGCTTAGACATCAAAAGACTGTTCTGGCTTATATACATATATGTATATATATATATATGTGATCGTATATGCATTCTGGCTTTCAAAGAGGTCAAGACATATTCAGACAAAAAACGGCACATGTACATACAACTTGTACAACTAAGTCTCAAAGACATCAAAAGAATACAAGTACTTCTGCAAGCCTAACACACTAATCACACCATGCATGCGAACAACAACAATTCATACCAATACTGTCATGATAACCCTGCTTCGTAGGAGTTCCTTGCATACTGCCTCTCCGAAGAATACTCATAGTCCTCGTGATACCCAAAGCACGCGCAGAAGTAGTGGTTTGCCCACAGGTTGCTAAGGGCTGCCTCTGCCAGCCAGGATTTGGGGTTTAGGGCTTCTTCGTTTCCTATAGCAAAAGGAAAAAGGGAAGGGGGGGGGGAACCCTAAACCCTAAACCCTAAACCCTAAACCCTAAACCCTAAACCCTAAACCCTAAACTCTCTCTTTCATATAATAATTTAAACCTTAATGGGGAACGTGGCCATTGGCAAAAAAACCGTGGCCATTGGCAAAAAAACCGTGGCCATTGGCAAAAAAGCCGTGGCCATTGGCAAAAAAGCCGGGGCCATTGGCAAATTCGCCAATGGCCACGGGAAAGTTGCCAATGGCCACGGCTTTTTTGCCAATGGCCACCAATGTCATTAAGGTTGGTCGCCAAAATGGGTTTTTCAAACCCAATTCGCACAAAATGCCCCCCAACCTTAATGGGGAACGTGGCCATTGGCAAAAAAAGCCGTGGCCATTGGCAACTTTTCGGGCTTTTTGCCAATGGCCACGGCTTTTTTGCCAATGGCCACGTTCCCCATTAAGGTTGGGCCCCAACCTTAATGGGGAACGTGGCCATTGGCAAAAAAGCCGTGGCCATTGGCAAGTGGCATTTGCCAATGGCCACGGGAAAGTTGCCAATGGCCACGGCTTTTTTGCCAATGGCCACGGCTTTTTTGCCAATGGCCACGGCTTTTTTTGCCAATGGCCACGGCTTTTTTGCCAATGGCCACGGCTTTTCCCCCCCCCCCCACCCCCCCCCCCCACCCCCCCCCCCCCCACAGGGCCCCCCCCCACCCCCCCCCCCACCCCCCCCCCCAACCCCCCCCCCCCCCCCCCCCCCACCCCCCCCCCCACCCCCCCCCACCCACCCCCCCCCCCCCCCCCCCCCCACCCCCCCCCCCACCCCCCCCCCCCCCCCCCCAACCCCCCCATCCCGCCCCAACCCCCCACCTTCCCCCCCCCCCACCTCCCCCCCCCCCCCCCCCCCCACCCCCCCCCATGCCACCCCTTCCCTCTTCTGGCCCAGACCCCCATTCTGGGCTTGAAAACCTGGGTCTGGGCCAGATCAAGATGAAGGCTTTGCGGGGCCGGGCAACACGGCAGCCCCTTCTTAGTCTTTCTCATCTTGGGTGGTCAGAGGGTGGGGTGGGGAAAAGCAACTTCGGGACCCCCATTCTGGGGTTGGAAACCTGGATGAGGGCTTCGCAACCCCCCCCCACCCCCCCCCACCCCCCCACCCCGAGAACGAATGCAAGCAGAATGAAGACGAGCTGAGAAATACGAGCAGAGAGAGAACGACTTCAAGGGCTCCAAGAGGGCGGTTGGGAAGGCGGGTTTCCAGCCCTAAAAACTCCAAGACCATGATTCCCAACCCCCCCTTCAAAAGGCTCCAGAGAGGGGGTTGGGAAGGCGGGTTTCCAGCCCAAAACACTCCAAGACCATGATTCCCAACCCCCCCTTCAGAGAGGGGGGTTGGGAAGGCGGGTTTCCAGCCCAAAACACTCCAAGACCATGATTCCCAACCCCCCCTTCAAAGGCTCCAGAGAGGGGGGTTGGGAAGGCGGGTTTCCAGCCCAAAACACTCCAAGACCATGATTCCCAAACCCCCCTTCAAGGGCTCCGAATACGGGTAGTTGGTTCTAGGGTGGGTTGGGGATTGGCTCGAACTGGAATGGTTCGAGGGTGGGGTGGGGGAAAACAAAACATTAGGTTAACAAAATTAGGGTTTTTTTGTCAATCCGGACCAACACTTTTGGTTCTACCTTCGGTCTGGGAAAGCAAGCGCGAAGACAAGGGACATGCGACAAAGCCGACGAGCACGAAGGGAGGGGACATACGACAAACCCTAAGAACACGAAGGGAGGGGACGTACGACAAACCTGTAGACCTCTCATCAAACCATACGAGCACGAAGGGAGGGGACATACGACAAACCCTACGAGCACGAAGGGAGGGGACATACGACAAACCTCTGAGAATAAAATCTCAGTTTCTGAATTCTTGGGATTCTTTGCAAGCAGACGAAGAGGGACACACGACAAAGCCGACGAGCACGAAGGGAGGCGACATACGACAAACTCTAACAGCAC